TGTTACTTGTGTTCGAACTGAAGGAGGATTGACCAATTATTTTCCTATTTCTGTTGGATTACATCAGGGATCGGCTTTAAACCCATATCTTTTTGCTTTAGTTATGGATGGTTTTACTGGACATTTACAGGAGGATGTATCTCGGTGTATGCTTTTTGCTAATGATATCTTTCTCGTGGATAAGACGAGAGAAAAAAACCCAGGAAAAGCTTGAATTATGGAGGTCTACATTGGAGTCTAAAGGCCTTCATTTGAGTAGAACAAAAATTGAATACATGGAATGTAATTTTAGTAGTACTAGCTCTAGTGATAGAAGTGTAAATTTGGGTGATCAAATTATTAAAAGGTGTGAACGATTAGATATCTCGGGTCTGTTGTTCAAAGCGATGGTGATATAGAAGGGGATATTATAGTAGAATTCAAGTTGGTTGGCTGAAGTGGAGGAATGCTTCGGTCTTTTTGTGTGTTAGAAAAGTATTGCTTAGATTGAAAGGAAATTTTTATAAGATGGTGGTGAGACCTGCAATGCTCTATGACGCTGAATGTTGACCTTTAAAAGAGAAGCATAATACTAAGTTAAGTGTTGCCGAGATGAGAATGATTAGGTGGATGAGTGGCTTTACATTTAGAGACAAAATGCGAAATGAATATCTCCGTGATAGGGTTGGTGTAGCTCCAGTGATGGACAAAATTAGAGAGAGTCGTCTTAGATGGTTTGGTCACATTAAGCGTCGACAATCTGATGATCTGATTAAGAGAGTAGATGTTTTAGATTCAACTTATGTTAAGAAAGGCAGAGGTAGACCTAAGAAAACTTGGGCTTATTGTATAAAAAATGATCATAATTTATTAGAACTAAATGAAAATATGACACTAAATAGGACACAATGGCGAAGAAGAATTCATGTAGCGGACCCCACGTATTGGGATTAAGGCTTTGTTGTTGTTGTTGTTGTTGTATTGTCTAAGAAGTATGAACTTTAAATTCATACTACAAGAGTTGCATTGCACATTGTGTCAATTTTACAGGAAAAAAAAGAGCATTTAGTGAAGAGTTATTGATAAAGCTTGGCTCCAATAATTATTCTTTTGAAGAAAAGCTATTAAGCTATTCCTGAAGTAAAGACCATCAAACCATACCTAAAGCTAAGAGTCACTAAACTCCGGCTCCAAGAAAGAAACAAATTTCACTAATTTTCATTCATCATAAACTATAACATCATTACGTTAGGGTTTTTATAACGTTGCTTTATGGATTTTAAAACATCAAGAGTGAAATAGAGGGTAAGAAAATTTTGAATTCATAAAACATTACATGAATAGTTACATAAAGTATCTTGTGATGTTTCCTTCTTGGCCTCATGGATTTTAATTAATTTGAAATCTATCATGCTATCATGGCTGAATTTCTCATGCATCATGACCTTTCCAAATTCAAAAATAACGTTGGCTTCAAAAGTTCAAAATTTGAATGCCCTCCATGTGCTTATTTCTTTTCTTATTGTTTGAGTGCTCGCTTAATTGAATCCTATTGATTTTATGACCGAAATAATCAACCTTCCAAATATGATATTCCCTCCAAAATTCAATATTTGAATATACCCACATGCAAAAAATCTTTCACAGTTTGCTTGGTTGTTGCCAGGGTTTGAATGAAAATTGAGTTGCTTTGATTTGTTCCCATAATTGGTTCCCAGAAATATTTGTTTTTATTCTTCTTGCAATTTGCATGGGATCGCCTTCCTATATTTTTCGGGATTGATTTAATTCTATATAATGTTGGTGGAACTCCATAGACTTGGATTTTGTTTGTCTTTCTTTGGATTATCCTTAGAAGTGATAATGAGATAACTGTTTATGAAATAAATGAATATGATATGTTTTGTAGATGTTCCCAATATATAACTGTCAGCAACAAATTATGCTGTGAAAAGAAATGGAGAGATAAATAATAATAATATTCAGATAATATTAAATGTAATAGGAGTATAGACTCACAATATGATTAGGTTAACAATTTCATTGCAATAAAATTAAACATTTCAATGTGACCATTCTTATTATAAATATTCAATGTATTTTCATGCAAATGTCCTGCATTAGTTATGTTCTTTGAATTAAATGTTTTAGGCATTTAATGCTATATTTGAATTATCCATAGCATTAATTTATATCACGTATTGGGAGTTTCATAAGCTGAAAAACATCAGCCATGGGGACCTATGATCTCAGATTTGCATGCTATTTTAATTGCATTTCACGCTGTGCCAATATCTACAAGAATTATTTTCAAATGCTGATAGAAAAACAAACTGTTGATTTCTATGATGGTGGAACTCAAACTAGTGAGAAATATATTATGTTTTGCCAATTTTTTTGCTCTCGAGCATTTGTGAAATCTTATATTATATAAACCATTGGATTATTATTTATTTGGATGACCAAGGGTAAACTAGAAAGAGATAAAAAGTAATATTAAACTTGACAAAGTTAGAAGCTAATAATGATGTTTAATCCCAAGCTCTCATTCTCTTTTTATACTTTCAAAGAAACTGTTTTTATCACCTGGAGACGTAGTAAAAAAATTTTCTCTTTTGTTTTCAGGTTCATTTCGAAGAAGGGTGTTCTTTAAATATGAAAAACGGTTGAGGCTACAAAGTTCACCTGAAAAGGTACTTAACCATACTATTTTGCGGCTTTAGTCTTTCTTAAAAGATATGGTGACGTAAATTTAAGGAAATGTATTTAATGGTAACATATGCCTAGCGATTTCCTCGTACATTGAATGAAACAAATCTACCATGCAAATTTTATTCTCTTGACTGTTAAAAGTTCATCTCCCTTAACTCGCCTAGCAATTTCCAAGTACATTGAATGAAACGAATCTGCCATGCAAATTTTATTCTCTTGACTGTTAAAAGTTCATCTCCCTTAACTCGCTCTTGTCTGTCAATCCCAAACAACCCCCCACCCCCAAAAAAAAAAATTTTGATATTTACTTATATGGGAGGGCAATTTGGACTTTTGTATCTCCTAAAATATCAGTTTTGCCCCTCTTAAAATATCATCTTGCCCTACATAGCTCTAATCCCTCTCACATTGGGTCTAGGGGGGTGGTTTGTCCCCCCTCAAAAAAGAGGATGGTTCCGCCGTGCTTCCCTCTACTATCGGTATCCTCTCCTCTCTCCCTCTCTCTCTCTCCCTTCCACCCTCCCCTGCCAGAAATCGGTATCAATTTCCTGTCTCTTGCTGTCCCAGCTCTTTCATTTTATTTTTTCATGTCCATTTTGATGAATAGAGAACATTCTTTTGAATGGTGGTGATGTGCATTTTAATAAAGTGAATGAGAGATATCTTTTAAAGGATTACACACAATAATTAATGTATTCATGGGTTTACATACACCACATAAATAAGAAAATATTGTTCAAGTGCATGTCTAATTTTACTCTTTCATATTTTTTGAGAAAATAATAATAGTGTTGATTAATAAAGATCAAAGTCAATCTTTTAAGGGGATTTGAATACAATGTACTCAATTAATTAGGATTTACATATTTAACCACAAAACTTCATAATTTACATATATAGCACTTTGTTAACTTCATTAACTACCTCATTAGCACAGTGGCGGGGTAGTGGCAACTTCATTGGTGGCCAGTTGGGGACGTTGGCTGTGATTTTGAAGGTGGGGTGATGTGGCGAGGTTAGTGACTTCTTTAGCGATGGCAAGATTGATAGTGAATTCTGTGGTGGTAAGGTCAGCATTTAACTTAGCGGCGAGATTTTGGGTGATAATCAGTCTAGATGGGGCGGGAATGAAACTCTAACAAAAGGCTTAGTGCAAGTATTATTTTAATTTTATTTTGATATTCTCAATGCTAAATAATCAATTTGGATTTATGTCGGGCAGGTCTACTATGGAAGCTATACATGTCTTGAGAGGTTTGATGGAGAAGTTTCGAGATAATAAGAAGGTTCTGCATATGATTTTTATTGATTTAGAAAAAGCTTACGATAAGGTTCCAAGAGATATCATTTGGAGAGTTCTTGAGAAGAAAGGTGTTGATATGACTTATATTTAAGTAATTAAATATATGTATACAAGAACCGTTACTTGTGTTTGAACAGAAGGAGGATTGACCAAAGAAGGTTCTGCATATGATTTTTATTGATTTAGAAAAAGCTTACGATAAGGTTCCAAGAGATATCATTTGGAGAGTTCTTGAGAAGAAAGGTGTTGATATGACTTATATTTAAGTCATTAAATATATGTATACAAGAACTGTTACTTGTGTTTGAACAGAAGGAGGATTGACCAAAGATGCCTTGGAATTATGGAGGTCTAAAGATCTTCGTTTGAGTAGAATGAAAATCGAATACATGGAATGTAATTTTAGTAGTAGTAGCTCTAGTGACAGAAATGTAATTATGGGTGATCAAATTATTAAAAGGTGTGATTCATGGATAAGACAAGAGAAAAAGCTCACGAAAAATTTGAATTATGGAGGTCTACCTTGGAGTCTAAAGATCTTCGTTTGAGTAGAATGAAAATCGAATACATGGAATGTAATTTTAGTAGTAGTAGCTCTAGTGACAGAAATGTAATTATGGGTGATCAAATTATTAAAAGGTGTGAACGCTTTAGATATCTCGGGTCTATTGTTCAAAGTGATGGTGATATTGATGGGGATGTTATTAGTAGAATTCAAATTGGTTGGTTGAAGTGGAGGAATGCTTCGGGCCTATTGTGTGATAGAAAAGTATCGCTTAGACTAAAAGGAAAATTTTATAAGATGGTGGTGAGACCTGCAATGCTATATGGCGCTGAATGTTGGCCTTTAAAAGAGAAGCATGAAACTACGTTAAGTGCTACCAAGATGAGAATGATTAGGTGGGTGAGTGGCTTTACACACTACCAACATGAGAATGATTGGGTGGGTGAGTGGCTTTACACTTAAAGACAAAATGCGAAATGAATATATCCGTGATAGGGTTGGTGTAGCTCCAATGATGGACAAAATTAGAGAGTCGTCTTAGATGGTTCAATTACATTAAACGCCAACCATGTGATAATCCGATTAGACGTGTAGATGTTTTAGATTTGACTTATGTTAAGAAAGATTGAGGTAGGCCTAGGATGACTTGGTCTTGTTGTATAAAAAATGATCTTAATTTATTATAATTAATTGAAAATATGACACTAAATAGGACGCAATGGAGAAAAATGATTCACGTAGCCGACCCCACACAGTGGGATAAAGGTTTTGTTGTTGTTTGTTTGTTCTCAATGCCAAATATGCAATCAATGAAGTTTCAGGGTTACTTCGTAAATCCTAATGTTTTGGGTGCTTTATATGTAAATCCCCCATTATTTGATGAAAATTGTGACAAATTAAAGATATTATATTACTAAATCAAATCAAGTTTCATGAAACTTGTTTGTAACCAATTGATAAGAGGTGCATGATTTTCTCACTTTAGTGTTCGAATGGTAAACTTGCTATTGACTTCATGTTATTCAATGGGAACCTATCCTGACGGGAAGTAGGATATCGGTAAAAATGAAAGCGTTGTTGGATGGTACAGAGATTTTATCAGTTTGATTTTCTACATGAAACCTTTGCGTCAAGCATAATTTATGCTACTATCTCTTCCTATTTTTATTTAAGATCGTTGTTTCTTGCTGTTTTTGTACTGTGTACTTTTTAGATGTTTCATTTTCTTGCTACAGTTGTATAATTGTCTGTCACTGCAGGAAACGATCATATTTTTAATTGAAGAAAGTATTTATTCTGCTGTTAGGATTTGATTCATTAGTTCTTGGAAGGCTGATTAATTTTATTCATGTCACCAGATCTTTGAGTACTTTGCATCCATCCGGAGCCCAGAGGGTGAGGTATTTATGTCTCCTGCTGATTTGATGAGAGCAGTGATTCCAGTCTTTCCCTCATCCGAGTCAAGTATTGTTAAAGAAGGATGTCTTAGAGGGGAGCAGAAACCTGGTGTATTACATTGTGCTTCATCCCCGCTTTTTCTACTATTTGACACTAACAATGATGGATTGATCTCCTTTCCAGAGTAAGATAACTTTATTTTTTTGTTTATGATATTATACACACTCCTTATTTCTTTATAAATCCTGATGTGTATAGAAATGACAACTTTGCCTCATTATTTTGGTGATCTTTGTTTTTTCATGATAGGTACATCTTTTTTGTTACATTGCTTAGCATCCCAGATTCAAGCTTCAGTGTGGCTTTCAAAATGTTCGACCTTGACAACAATGGGTATGTATTTTTATGGCCAAACCTTAAATTCAATGGTAAATGTTCATTTTTATTTGCTGGCTAAATATTGATTCAGTTTTCACAAGTTCAAGTCTTTTGTTTGTGAGAACCTACACATTCTGATAACCAATTTACTAGCTTTTATATGGTAGGCCTGAAGCAATGGTTGGGTTGAATTTTTTGTGGTAATTCTTGTTTATAGTGCTAGTTTAAGGCTGCAGACATCCATCTCTCAAAAAACATACTTTGTCTGGTGGCTGTGCTTGTTTGGGATGTGGTTAGTCATAAACTCCTAACTTGCGAACGTCACAAGCAAGGATTGGATATTTGGTTTCCTAATTGTAATGTGTACTGTAATGTAATTTGGTTACTTCACAGAGGAAGGAAATGGGCTATTTGACATTTGATGTGAAAGCATGAAACAGTGTGAAGGATCAAAGGGGTTCATTCGTTAGATACATGTCATGGTAGTTTATGCTAAGCTTTATAACATCTAGCTCGGTATAAAAAGATATTTTATGCAGTTTGTCAGAAGTTATCTGTCGAATTTGTCACCTTTTCATTCTGCGGTAAATTTGGTCTTTCCTCATGCTTAAAAAGAACTTGTTTCAACTAGTGCTCTGTATCATTACAGTTTCTCTGAATTCATGGCGTCCATCACTTACATTTGTCTTAATAGTTAATTTCAGTATTATTTTCTTCATAAGCTTGTTTTTCAATTGTAAATTTCCCCTTGGAGTATGTATTGTTTGTTATTTACTTGGAAAATTCACATGCAGTTGAAATATTCTTGTTCAAGTGCAGATTAATACCCTCACTTAGTGAGTAACCTTGCTCATAAATTTTTCATTAAAGCTTCTCTATGGAGTTTTATCCTTAGATTATGAATATTGATTGGCTGCTCCATTTGCAGATCAATTGAAAGGGATGAGTTTAAAAAAGTGATGGCATTGATGCGATCCTATAATAGACAGGGGGCATGCCATAGAAATGGGCTGCGCATTGGTCTTAAAATTCGAGGCTCTGTGGAAAATGCAGGCCTAGTCGAGTATTTCTTTGGTAAAGATGGAAATGATCGCCTCCAACATGACAAGTTTGTAAAATTTCTGAGGGATTTGCATGACGAGGTATTAATTACTCTCCAACTTTTGCTCAAATTACATTTGGGCACCTCATCAATCTTGCCTTTTATTTTATTATCGGTATCACATTATCATTTGGGTGTGAGCTTTATTCTCTGTCCTTGGTTCTGCTCTTTGCCAGAAGCACAATCCAAGGATTCTAAGGGCTAAACAGATATTATTGGTTTAGAAGGTGCTTAGTGAAACTTTTGCCAATACTCCAAATAATTTAACTGATACTTTAAACATTTTGTATGATAACGGACTTCAAAATGATAGTTAGTTCTTAAAAGTGATAAAATATTTATTGCTTTAGTTTCTATTTTCTTTCAGATCTTGCGGTTGGAGTTTGATCATTATGATGTTAAATCAGAAGGAACGATTTCCGCGAAAGATTTCGCTTTATCAATGGTTGCAGCTGCAGACATTAATCATATAAACAAATTTCTCGATAGAGTTGATGTGTTAGATAAGGACTTGCATCTGAAGGATATGCGTATTACCTTCGAGGTTAGCATGTATCAATAACCACTTAACATAATGCACCACAGGATAATTCTTTATTGTGACATCTTCTTGTCTAAACTCCCAGGAATTCAAAGCCTTTGCAGATTTACGGAAGAGACTGGACCTACTGTCATTCGCTATTTTTAGTTATGGAAAAGTTAATGGCTTCTTTGCAAAGGAAGATTTTAATAGAGCAGCTTCTCATGTATGATTCTATAGTTTCATTTTTTTTCTCAAGGGAAGATCAAATTATTAGTTCTTTTCAGAGTAATTTTTTTTTTATTTTGACCTGGTAGGTTTGTGGGGTGTCTCTGAGCGATAATGTGGTGGATGTTGTCTTCCACGTATTTGATTCGAACAACGACGGACATCTGAGCTCAGAGGAGTTCTTGAGAGTGATGCAGAAAAGGGAAATTGATGTCCGGCAGCCGACGTCAGCCAGCCGTTTCAGGCATTCCTTCATGCTGCCTTGATCAGTCCTGAGCCTAACATGATGTGTTTAATTGGACTAAACTCTGCCGGCACCAGCCACCTTATTGTCAGCATATTTCTTGACAGCATGTTATAATGAAGGAAATGGAGCTTTTAATTTAACAACTAATCAAAAGGTACAAAAGGCTAAGCACATTTCCTGTTTTTAAACCAGATATTGTTTCTTATTTAAGCGTGTTTATGTTGATTTGTAGGCAAGAATGCGCGGCTTGAATGTCAGGTGAGGGATGAGTCAATGGCAACCAATTGCTTCTGCTATGTTTCTCTTTTTTCCCACAATTCTCTTTGCTGCTGTTATATTTCTTCTCTGTTATGTATATAAAATGTTATTTTAATTCTCTTAGGATGTGTGGAAGGCTTTCTATATTATGGCTGCTAATAGTGGGTAGTAGGTCGGGCAAGTTTGTGTTTAAAATTGAGCTTGTTTATAAACGAACCGAGTCGAGCAGGTCTGAGTTCAAAGTTTAGCTCGTGCTCAAATCGAGCTTTTGACTTCATGTGCATATTTTTAATCAAATGAGCTTATCGTGTTTATGCGGGAATTACTCGTTAATCTTACAAAAATAATTGACTTTTAAATGAACAAGCTATTAAATTAATAATTAAAAGAAGCATACAAACAAGGATGTTTTTTATTTTATTTTGTATATTATGAATTATAAATTTTAAATTAATTTAATATAAATGATTTTTAAATTAAAGTTTAATTGAGCTTATTCATAAGATTTAAATTTGTTTTTATTTGTTCTCATTTATAAGCATTAAATCAAGCATTCAAGTTAGTTCATAAATTTTAAATAAAATTATTCACAGTTTTATTTAATGATCTTTAAATGCTATTGTTAACATGAATGAATCAAATAAAAAATTATTCAAGTATGTTCATTTGATTAATCAAGCTTGTATAAAAGAGTTTAAATTTATTTAATTAGTTAATCAAATGAAAATAAGTCAGTACTTAGAGATTGAAGCTGCAAGTTGTTTGTTAAAATTTTAGTTTATTTGTAAGTTGGTAGCCTTCCTTTTCATAAGTCAATGAGACTCAGTATTTAGTGATTAGAGCTGCGAGTTTGTTAAAATTTTAGTTTATTTGTAGCCTAAGTTGGTAGCCTTCCTTTTCATAAGTCAATGAGAAGGGTTCTTTTGATGGAAAGGGAGAAGTGTGTTATGTTGGAAAAAAATATTTTGTTTGGATGTCTGTATTTCTGGACAGTAAATCACCAACGCCCATGTCGTCCACTGATGAAGAGCATGACGATGTCACCGTTGGTGATTAGCCGTCCGAACGTGCAGTGTCTGGACGTAATATTTGTTGTTTGGATGTCCATATGTCTAGACGGTAAACCACCAATGGCCACGTCATATGTCGATGACGTGTATGATGATGTGACCGTCAGTGATTAGCAGTCCGAACGTGCAGTGTCTGGACGTAATATTTGTTGTTATATTTGATGCGTGCTAGAAAATTTATGGCGACAGAGTAATGGATTATCGTATTAGCGTTGTGCGAGAATTCAACACACACTCAAATGAAAATGAATCAAGCTGTGGTAACACCAAAAGTTTTTACGTGGAAAACCCGTAAAGGGGAAAAATAACGCGGTCTGGCCCAGTTGTAAAAATTCAGGCGGGAATGGTTTATTAGTTTTCCAAGTTATAATGTCGACTAATGACGTCTAGTCAGCGGTGGTTGACGGAGATCGGCGGTGATCGACGGTAGTTGACGATAATTGATGACAGTCGGCGGTGGTCGACGGAGATCAGCGGTGGCTGACAACAGTCGATGACGGTCGGTGATGGTCGACGGAGGCCAGCGGTGATCGACGGAGGTCAGCGGTGGTTGTCGAAGGTAAGTGGTGGTCTACGGCATCGACGAAAATCGACGATGGCGAGGATGATCTTGGACAAGCTTCTTCTCAAAGCATCAAGTTCTCTCTTAAGTCTCCTCCTCTTCATGTGAGTGGTGAGACTCTATTTATAGTGTTTTAAGTGCAATTAATGCAGAAATGTGAATCATTTTGATCGGACGGTCCGGAGAGCTTCCTTTGATCAGATGACGTTTGATAGACATTTGAGTGTCTTAACGATGTTGGAATTCAGCAATCTTGAATTGGAATTTAGCAATCTTGAATTCGTTGGATTTTTCTTGTCGAGACGCTCGATTCGGCTATGAACTCGCTAGATTCGACATCCGTTTAACATTTTAAATTCCTCCGGAAATCCTCCAATAGTGGTTTAATGATTTGATCCGGCTTGATTTGACTCAGATTGAACTGACTTTCATAGCATTAGGTCTGTCTCATCGATCTGATTAGTTTGACTATAAGTTTGCTAAAATTGGAGCTCTGGATGACTCTTAATTGAAGTTTGAATGTTTCTTGTTCAAAAAATTACACCGAGATTTGTGTCGGATGATGAAAATTTGTTGGTGGCATATCAATGTTGCCTCACTATTTATTTTGATTTGTGGTTACTAGTGTATCAAGTAAAAGAGGGAGTAAACCATGAAAAAAAGAAATTTTAACCCCACACAAATTTATTAAATACCCAATAATACTCCTCAAACATGATGCCGCAATAATTGATTCTTTCGATCATTTAACTATTTTTAGTGGTGTTAATATTAGATATGATGTCAAAGATTGACTCAAATCTGCCATACAAAATTATAATCCAAGTTAATCTGTGTAATATTCGGATCTAGTTTCAATTAATTTAAATGAAAAAAATAAAAAATTCATGTCAAGTTTAAGCTGAATCAAACTAGTTTCTTAAGGAAAGTATAGATTGTTTTGTCACTAAAAAATACTGAATTTAATATCCTTTTAGATGCAACGAGCTTAATTTTAAACACAGTCCTGCTCGACTAAATGAGTTCACATTGATCGAATATTATGTTCCATAGAGCTCAAAAATTTTTTATTTTAAAGATGATAAACCAAAACATGAATCTCCTTGAGAACCTCTAAAGGAAAAGTAAAAGCAAAATAGGTTATTCAAGCATTAATTGTTTGACATGTTGGCTATGCTAAAACGGTTCACATTGATGCCTGGGATCATGATTTGGAGGGCCTTAAAATGTATCATAAATTATTTCCCTACAAATCATTTGTTACTATTAGTCGACTCAAAACTTAGTTGATCAAATTTCTGTCAACTCGAAATGTTTGTGAAGAACTCTTGATTCTAATGTGGACTAGGTTCCAGAAATTGCCTAACATGAATGTTATAAAACTAGTAAGTTTATGAATTTTTTAACTCATTAACAATTTAATAAAGTAAAATATCTTTGGGAGATTAGATCTCTTGAAACCATGAAGAAGCTCATTGGAAAAAATTATATTATTAGTAATATCCCTACCAAAGAGAACAACAATCAATCTGAATAAAATAGAACATATAATGGTAGGGTAGATGTGCTTAAGATGGCTAGCAATAAGCTTTGTAATAACCTTTTATGTTGCATTGCAAAGTAATGTAGGCCTAAATTCATTGGAATAAATTGCTTGTTCTTTCTTTTAAATTAAAGTGATAGCATAATACCTTTCTTTGTTGGGTAATATAGATGTTGAGAATGGTGTGTATACATAACAGGCTAGTCACATCCCAAGTATATTTGAAAAACTTAGAGGTGAAGGCGTCATGACCTACAGCTTGCTCAGAGCAAATGTTAAAGAAAGCATCTTCATCCAAAAATTTTGAAGTAAGGTAAGTCCCTTTATATAGAGAAAAGGTGTGAGTTGATTGTATATCTAGTGAGGAATGATTGGTAGGTGAAGCCAAATAGTTAAGAGTGGAGGAGAAATAAGTGACAACTTCCTCAAAAATATCAAATCGAGAAGTAATGCATATGGAGTTGGTGTTAAGATCTGTGATGTGATTTATGTTATTTCTAACTTTAATCCTTGATATAGGAACTAATATAATCCTACCCCTTAGTGAGTTAGGCACATTTGGCTCTCTATTTCATTCATGTATTTTCACACGTTGTGCATCATAATTTGTCTTTGCACATTTTTTATCCCATCAATGATGGTAGAAATATGCTAGGAGGAATTCCAACTGGATTTCTTGATGGCTTTTTTGACAGTGGTTAGCTTATTTTCAAAAAGTGAAGATGGGATCCCCTTTCATTCGGAGGCTCCAAGGATTTAGAATGAGACTAGAAAATTTAAGAGGTTAATATAACTTATTATGCAATTAGTTTGATTGAAATCCCTTTGTTGTTCTAGTTTGAACTTGTTTTTCATTATGAAGTTTTTTGGGTTTTAATTAAACTTAATGACTATGATACCTAAGAGGGGGGTGAATTGAGATTTTAAAAGAGTGTTGCCTAATAAAAATATTTAATACTATTTTAATGATATTTATAAAAATATTAATTAGCACAAAATTTAAGTACTTGCAAGTAAGTAAATAATAAGATATCATAAGTGCAAGTAAAATAAATAGCAGACACAACAAAAGCATACATCCATCCTAGTCAACTCTCGGGCTAAAAATTCACAAAATTTGAGGTTTATCAACAAACTTCACTTTATTGAACCAAAGAGGTTACTTACAACCTAAGTACTCACTTATACGAGCGAGTACAATATAATCTACATATGATATGATTTTCACTAAGCTAAATAACTTTGATGAGGAAAAAGAAGTATACAAAATTTTATAGTTATACAAGCTCAAATAATCTTACAATACAATGACCTAACAATAATTTGAGATGGGTTTATACAAAGTATTTGTAATCACCTCACAACTTGCAAATGGAATGTAAATTTTATTCATTTTAAAACAAATTTATATTTTAGCAAATGTAAATAAATTATTATGATTTTAAATTGAAATAAATAAACTCTTTGATTTTAAAGATGTTTCTTAATATTTATTAAGTTTTGAAAGTAGATCTATATTAAAATTAAATAACTTGCTTGTTAACTTCATGTATTAAAAAATATAACACAAGAAACTTAATCTACAATGCTCAAATAGTATTTCATAAATAATAATTTTCAAGAGATATAAATGTTAAAAAATTGAGGAGCAACAAAATGATAAAAAGAAGGAAAAAAATACCAAAACTTCAAGAAAAATTTCCTTGATTGAATGTGTGAAGGATCCAAACCAAGGAATGCAATCTTGAAAGAATGAGGAACACTTGGAACGAAAATCTGAATGTTCTTCTTAAGAACTTTTCTTGAAAAGAATGAGGAAAGAAGAGAGCAATGCTGGAGATTTTAGAATTCAAGAGTACACATTTCATGAAGTAAATAAGGTTTTCTTATAACCGAAGAGTAATTTTAAACTAATTATAATATAAAGTGTTATTCTAAAATTATTTATGAAAAGATGGAAGGATGAGTAAACTCTCCAAACTAAAGGATTCCCCTTAACAAAGGATGGGATAACATCCATATTTCTCCTCAGCCCCGTAAATCCATCTCATCCCTTAACAGAGAGAAACAGGGCAACAATAGATAAGTGTGATCTAGTGTTTTAAGGCCTAAACTTGGTTGAGGGGGTAAATAAAATTCAACATGCTAATAGATCAAGTGATCATTGAATAGTTTGACATGAACTAAATTTAAGATATTTTTATAGTAGATGTTTAGTTTTCTAATCCTTTTATCTTTTTAATTGTGACCTATGAATAGAAAAAGAGAACAATAATTACTATTGAATCTCATAATAAATGTAAAAAACAAATTATTTAAGATCCTTTAACATTCATGCCCCTTGCTTTTATAAATAAGAGTCAAGAAGTTGTGTTAAACCATCATTCTTAAATCCTTATTCTTTCAACTTGCATACTCTTTCCTCACTTCTTCATTTACAAATGATGATGGAAAATGCCTCTGAAGAGAAAGTATGTATTCCTAAAGTAGAGTTCATTGAAGAATTATTTGGGAAACACCTGAAGGATGGGCATTCAAAAAGGAATAAGAAGAGATTAAGGGTTAAGGAGGAATTCATAATGATTCCCTAAGAAGGGCTATCTTCAATCCTTCCTACATATGATCCTCCATCTCAAGTGGAGGCATTGTTAGTGGTAAGCCATCGTCCTATTAACTCCCTTAAGCGGAGGCATCATCTAATAGGGTGATTTTCCTTGCCATGCGACTACAATTTGTCGCAGAGGTTCGATATTGGGTGAAATCAATTTCTATTATTTTGGCATTAGATGAGTTGAGTGCTCAAATCAAACTTCGGTCATAAGACAGTGTGTAATTATTATTTTTTGCTTATAAAGGTAAATTTATAAAATTTTAATGAATTTTAAAATCTTTCCACAATTAGCACATATTTAATGAGCTCCTAAGTGAAGAGCACTTTATCAATCATTGTTCTCAGATGAGGCCAACCAGTGAACTAGACTTGAATAAAGTAAATGCTCCTTAAGAATAGAAGCATACACATGTGGAGAGTGAATTCAAAGAACTTGTTCTAAGGAGGTCATTCTCCACTTTTGCTAAGTTACCTATGAGGAATGCTCCTACAACTATGAGTGAGGACATTCTTGGAAAGAGTATAAATCTTTTGTATTTTCCTTATAAGAATTCAGATAGTGGAGGTACTTATATTTGTGCTTTGTTTGAGGTTGGCATCCTTCATGATGTGCAAGTTTAAGAAGAGAGTGAGAAGAGCATGATAGTTGTAGGAATACGTAATGTTGAAATGTCCAAAACTTTTTTGCTAGCTGTGGTTGTAAAAAATGACTATATAGCAACCTTGGTGTCTTCATAGATGTGTGTGAATACTAAAAGTGGGATAAGAATTAAATAATTTTCTTTTGAGTTGGGCCACATAAAGTCAACCTCAGTTATGATGAAGGCCAAGTTATTATTCCAGGTCATAGATTTGATGGTGAAGGTCACCGAGCATAAATACTTAAAGATCAAGTTAAAGAGAGAGGAGGCTTACATGGCTAATAGACAACTCAGTTTCCAAACCTATCTAGAATCAACTCATAGACTAATTCATTTTCTTTAAAGCCTCCTTATTTCATTTTATTAATGCGATGGTAAAAATAAAATTTTTTATTATTATTAAAAATATTACAATCAATATAGTTAATCATATTTTCAAAAAATTTTCATTAAAATTTTATAAAAATATCCCACCCACCAATATTGAATAATCTTATCTAAGAAAAAGTATTTTTTTATTATCATCATTAATACATTTTAATTGAAATTAATCTTGATTTTTTTTATCTCTTTGTTTGGCTAATTTATATAGACATCTTTCATCCTATTTTGTATTTAATTTATTATAAAGACCACTAAAAGTAGAATTCTTACTCACCATGTGCCACCTTATATTTTTCTCAATTCACTAAACTTTTATATTTAAACAAATTTTTATAAGAAAACTTCTTAGATTTTATTTTTTCTTACACATTATTCTACCACCAACTATTCTTATTTATAGGTGTTTTTCCTTTTGATTCTCTAAGTACAACTTTTGCAATTTGCTTAATAATATTCATTACTTTATCCTAATAACATTAGCCTCTTCATGAATATCCCAAATCTTAAGATTTTAAAGTTTACTCATAAAATTAATTTTATTTGTGTCTTTTAAGTGCTCTCATCTAATTCATATTATATATTTTTTCTCTTACAATCCTTTATCTTAAAATTCAAAATTAATAATCGAGTTTGAGCACTTAAATTCAATGATCTATTTTTTCCAATAAAGAAAAAAATTAATCTGTGTTTTATTAGATCCATTTTTGTAAGTGATAATATTTTTTTCTCTTTTCTTAGATAAAATATTAGCAAGAAAAAAATTCATAAACTAACTAAAAATCTAATATGACTTTATTTTCTTCATTAATCACTCCAAATTTGTAGCTACCATGATAATTTATAAAATTTTGCACCACTCTACCATGTCCATTTAAATATCCTCCATAAAAATTCCTTTTTTAAGGGTTATTATTTGTGTTAATTCCTTAACGTTATTCAAAAAAATTTCTTTTAAACATATATTTAAACCTACTTGAGAAAGTAACGTTATTCAAAAAAAATTTTTTTAAACATATATTTAAACCTACTTGAGAAACATACACAGTTATAACATCAAAAATCTTAGTTTAAACTATGATTTTTATGGCTATAATTCTATCTCCAATACATAAATTTTTGCAACATTTTCTTTTAAACTTTTAGTTGTAATAACACCTACACTACTTCTAGTATGACTCCTGCCTAAATACTAAAGCTTAAAACATGAGCTATTAATCTCTTTATTCAATTAGTTTCTTAAATGCATAACAAATTTATCTTCTTATTAACCATAATATTTACTAATTCTTCTTGTGAGATTATGAATATTCCAACTTTCTATCATAATATTAATTTCATGGACTAACATTTTTGCTAGCAACCATCCATAAAATAGAAAATATTGTTGATTTACACTTTAATTTGGTACAACAGTCATTGCAAACTTTTTATTGTATTCAAGCCATACAACACGTCAGTTCCAGGAGAAAAAATTGCGTTAGTTGACCAGATGTAAGCTGCGTCCGGACAACGACTATGATACAACGAAGGTCCGTTTTTTTTTTCTCCTTCGTGTATTGCAGTCGTTGCCCTGATACAACTTGCGTCTAGACAACATATGCAATATTTTTTCTAGTTCCAAGGATGCCCTGACATTAACACAATAATTTATAGAATTCATGTCATGATTTTTTGATAAAAAAATTTATGCTGGATGCCTACCACCTAACACAACCCTCCTTTTTTTGCATTTCGGGCTTGAGACATGAAAATGAAAGTATATAAAATACTTACAAATTACAAAATAAATTTAAACATCTCAAACCTAAACATATATATCAAATCTCAATTAGAACAATAGGAAAACGTGAACAATTTATAATATGATCAATCCAAATCCTATTCATCACATACTTGGCATTGTGGAAGCTATATAAGTAATTTAGATTTCATATGTACCTGCACAATTCACTTGGTAATTTGATTTATTTTTATTTTACTTAAATTTAAAATTTAATAATAAAAATAAACATATATATTAATAAAAAAATGCCTTTACTAAGGGTGTTTCTTTAATAATATTTAAAAAAAAAAACACCCTTCATCGAGGTGTTTTTGCTCTTTTTTATTTTTATCATTAGGCTCCTGATACTATTATAGTTAATTAACTGCCTCGTTTTTTATAATTTGGCTGCTGATTTCAACTCATAGCTCGTTTACAAGCACGACAACTTCCTTCGCTAATCCCGAGGCAAGCGTGCATCTAAATATAACTGCATGAAGTAGCCTAACCTAAATGACATATGACAGTACACTAGAGAGAAGTTTGTACCCTAGAACCGTGGGGTCGACACTTCCTTAAATTCTCACGTAAAATAATTTATTTTCTGTCCTACAACATACATACTATGAAAAATGCATTAGTCTTGAACTATATAAGGGAGGTGATGGTACCCATATGGGCTCCCTTTTTCTTCGTCCCACAAATTTTTCAAGGACCCACAAAGGAGTAAGGTTATTCTCCACTCTCTTCGCCCTCTCACGTCATGAGTTCACAAATGCTCTTGCCTATATAGTATTCTCACAGACAAATTATGTTCCAACATGTGTATTACTTATTTCATTAATCCAATCTTAATTTCTCAAATTACATATTGCTGTAAATGTATCTACACTTTATTATATTATAGCTTCAAAATTACTTATTGCTATGTTAACCGCTTAAATTGATAGTGCTATAGACAATAGATTGCCTTATGTTGGGTTATTGCCCAACGACCACACTCTATTTTACCTTTCTTATAATGATATGATAAGTATGATTGCGTTCACCCTACCTTTTCGACGGTGTTGTCAACCGAGTTCAAGTTATTGGAATACGTTTTTTTTGTTTATTTGTTGTAGGTGAATTATATTTACATCTTGTTTAGTCATATTTCAACAAGGGTCAATTTTTATTTATAGCCCGAACTTTATTTGGAAAGGTCTTTAACCATATTTTAATCTAGTTCAAACCCAATTTGAATAAGTCTTAGATCAAGTTTATTTAGATATGATTTGAATCTTAAATGAACATATGTTGTTTGAGGAGGATTTTAAAGATCCATTTATGGCAGTGGTAGTTCTTTTCTGCAAGAGTGATTGTAATATTAAGTATTTAGGTAAGAAGGCTTGCGTTGAGTCGGAACCCGCAGTCTCGAGCGAACCGAGAGAAGATCTCCAGCCATGGCTTTGGCTTCTCGCCTCCTCTCGCGATCCCGACAGGTATAGCGGAGCTTAGGATGATAGACATGATATCACTTTATACAATCTCTTAATCTTCTTTGCACGAGAAATAGGGTTTTGGTTTTAATTTCGTATCTCAACCAACGATATCGTGCAATCTTGATCCTTTGGATTCTGTAATCTATTTTTATTTTCAATCTGGATCGAAATAATTTTAATTTTCAAGCAAGCACTGGATTGAAGGTTTGGGCAAATGTTGGTTGGATTTCCCTGATCGATTCTGCATCGAGTTTGTATAGTAAGGTTTTAATTATAGGGTTCGGTTCACTTAGCCGCCACCAATAACGTCTTATAATGAGTTGTGATTTGATAATTATGATTGCGTTCGCCCTACCTTCTCAACCGTGTTGTCTGCTAAGCTCAAATCGTTGGAATAAGTTTTCCCTTGCGGCACAGTAGGTCGTTAGAACGGCACCAACGAGGCCTGAATTCAAAGAATGAATCAAAATTTTGGCATAGCGGGTTGTTAAAACGGCACCCAATTAGGCCTGAATTCAAAAAATGAATCAAAGTTTTGGCTTTGGATGGTTTTTTCTTCCTTCCTTCTGTCATTGATGATTAAAATCTTGACACATTCCTCCAAGTGTAGATTTGATGTTATATACATTTCACTAAAAATATATTATAGTGATTGGACTGGTCATTGTTCTTATACCTTGGCCTAAGCGCAATTTATACTTGATTGTACGTTGAATGATATTTTAAAACCGGATGTCTGCATGATGAGCACTTCCAACCATAAGCTTACTGGGTCCTTACTGTTAACTGTGAGCTTTGAGTGCTGATCTCAGGTTGTATTGACTGGTATTGGATGTCTAGAATTTGAATTTGGAAGGGTTTTCATCTTATATATGTTTTTCTTTAGAGGGCTATATTGAAGATGAACATGAAATATATATTTATGTAATGAATTATAGTGCCGTCTAGGGTTTTATTGATGTTATGATACATGTAGAAAAGATCATGCACTTCCTATCACAATACTTATGATTGCTGCCCTTCATATTACTGGATGGAGTAGTCATTCATATTACAGTTATTATGGATTATATCATACTGATCATGCATAATCTTATTATTGATATCATGATAACAATACATCTTCTCATCATTGATGGCATGATCATGATATAACACATCAGGAAAAATTCGCACACTTTCATTGCTATTATGATAATCATCCTATGCCGAATCACCTCTATCAATCAACTCTTATATCTCATCAAGTGACTAACAAACATCTAATTTATGGTGGTAGACTCAATGTATGCACATATATTATTTACTGTTATCTTTTAAAGACATCTTCTCCACTATTCACGGGTTTTCATGCTATTGAGATTGATCTTGATTTTGTGCTTAGGATTAAACTAGAAACTTCAGAATTCATTTTTTTGGATACATTTGCTCTTTGGATTAGATTGATTGATGCTGACTATGATGATGAGCTAATATCTAATGATGAATGTGATCACTAAGACCATTTTCAATTACCATATTCAAAGTCTGATTTAGATTACATTCTGGACTTTGACCCAGCGATTGAGCTGCAGCGTGAGATGGTGCCTCCTATTGAATCTATTTTAATTGTTGATGTTGATCCTCTGTAAGAGATACATGATGTTCACATTGATCACGTGGTACTTCAGTTATTGTTGTTCTCTGGCATGTTGAGATGGAGATTTTCCAGAACTTATTGTATTAATGCCTACTCTATCCCAGTTCCTGTTCACGTTGTCTTTTTTTTAACCCCATTTCTCATTGATATACCATCACGCGTTTCTAGTTTATATTACTCTTTATACATAATGGTGTGATAACTATCGATGCTTTCAGTCAAAGCCACTAGATACTTCTGCAGGCATACAATTTTCTTTTGCTGCTACCTTAAGCAGTTCCCATTTTCATGTTGTGCCTCTGCGACTACCATAGCTTCCAACTTTCAACACCTCGGAGAAGAGTTTCTCTTGGATTATATGAAATGATACAAGATCATCTCAGTCATCCATTATTTTTCTTACAAACCTGCACCGTTTATCTATTTTTAAGATGCTTTATTTATGTTTCGTGCAAAAATGTATAAAAAGGATTTAATTTATGTTGCTTTATTAGCATTAAGTGTTTTTTTGTTTGCATCGTGGTTTCTCTTTTATAGAAAGGGTGTCTTAGGATGATATGCAACTTTTAAAGATTTTTAAATAGAAAAATGGAAGCTTAAGTCTTCTTCACTTTCTCCTTTTTTGTTATGTGCTCCCTCTCTCTCTCTCTCTCTCTCTCTCTCTCTTTCTTCACTTTCTCCTTTTTTGTTATGTGCTCCCTCCCTCCCTCCCTCCCTCCCTCCCTCTCCCTCCTCATCTCTCTTCCGCTCTCTCATACTTCTATCTATACTCTCTCTTCTCCTTTAGCAGCCTACAAATCCTCAAAAGCTCATAAGCATCATCAAAATTGGGATTTTTTTTAATTTGTTTTTCCACATGTTTTATCTTTTTTACTAATATGCTTATGTATGAAGATCTTCACACTTTACGAATGTGATTGTAGTTTAATAGACGCTTTTTGTATGCCACCACTTTGTACTTACATGCTTGATCTACTTGTATAAAGCACAGTAGAAAGTTTTCTTTTTAATATTACTCTACATTTATAAACTAGCCCTTCTATTTTTATTGACAGTTATCAGTTGTTCCTATTGTAATGCCACATGAGCGTTTAGCAATAGTTCGTTCGTTTGCAAAAGAAGCTGCGCCTCCTGCGTTGCCTAAGCTTAAAGGAGATGGTAAGTAAACCAGTTTGTTTAATTTCAAGTAATTTAGCTAAAGCATGTACATTTATAGCTAAAGATGGTGAAAGGCTTAGGGAGAAAATTTTCACTCGACATATATTTTTTTTCTATATAAAAACTAAGAGCCCCTCCCCGGTCAAATCTCCAATATGTTGATTTTGTCATGCAAATACATGAGTTTGTTAGTTTATTGATGTGCTAATTTTCTTAATAGGGTAGATTTCAGTGGCATATTTATTCTCTCAACAGTTTTAATGATTTCACACATTTTTCTTTGTTTGTTCACTTTATTTGACAATTATCCAACTTAATATTGAACTAGCAAGCACAAACAGTATGATTTTCTTGCACATGCATACAAATATTTGACAAGGAACCATGTTGTGTAGGCCATTTAGCATGCATCAATTTTCTTTTAAAGAATATGTGGACATTTATTGAACACATCTCATACATGAATAATGCATGAATAGAGCACAAAGTAGAAACAATGATTGCCACTTATTCTTTAATTCCTTAATTAATCTTTCATTTATTGTTTTGGCTTTATTACTTCTCTATTCTCACAATATTTCAACTCCATTATAACTTTATTTGGCTTACCTCTAAGCAATTTGCTTAATTTAGTGATATAATTTGTTTATTTATTGAAAGAATTGGTTCAATATTTTTTACTCTACTCATTATCTCAAATTTTTTAAATGCATATTTATAGTTTCATATTCTATATTTTGAGGGTTTATAATTGCATTTGTTCATATTTTTGCCCCTTTTTTGCTAATAATAGTAATGGGAGGCTTTATAAGTGAAGTAATGCTTAGAGATGGCTATGAATTATTGGCTTATGATGTGGAGATGTGATTTACTGTTGATGGTGTAAGGGGTGATCTGTTGGGTTGTATAGAGGTGGGAAAATTTAGGGTATGTTTGGGATAAATTTCTATCTTTGTTGCGTTTTACACCGCCACCATAACTCTAGTTGGGGATTTGATTTCTTGGCACTTTTTAAAATTTTTTTTTTGTGGTGGAAAGTTGTTTTTTGCAACCGATTCTATTAAAATATGATGGCAAGCTGCTGACTTTTTGGACAAATAAACTATTTATAATACCCACAACAGTATTCTAAAAAGTTGCTTTCCCCATAACATTTCTATAAATACCTTACAAAAAGTTTTAGCCACCCCAGACATGCTCTTAGAGTAGCTTAGTTGAACGTCCTTTGGGCTGATTTGATTTATGTTTTTTAGGAATGGATTTAAGGCTGCCAAATAATGGGAATGATTGTTGAGGGCTAGCTTAGGATATGTATTTCTGATTTGGAGTATTTCTGATTTGGTGGAGTTACAAAGGGCTTAAGTGAGTCTGAAAGGAGAGGAAATAAAATTAGGGTAAACCTAGTCTAGGCTGAGACCTTCTAATAGGTTTTTAAAATTATTTTGATGGCTTTGGTTAAAATTATTTTGATAGCTTTGACTGATGAGTAGTCTTAGATGTCTAAGATGCAGGGGAAGATGTTGGAGATGTTTTGAGGAGAATAGCAAGCATAAAGTGATAATTTATCTTTTCCCAAGAAAGGTGAATGGAGGACCGTCAAGCTTCAAGCAACTAGAGAATACTTCACTCCAAATTTTTATATTATTTAGATTGAAAGATTTTAGTACTTATCAACACTATGTTAGGGTTGATAAAAACTCTTAGGCTATCATTACTCAAATGGAATGAACTTTTTGGAAGGAAAGAGAGCTATTAATGACGTAATGTGCAATGCATCAAGTTATTCAGCATTTCAAAAATTCATCAAATGGCGGCCAAAAACCTTGTCCTAAATTAAAATAAAAGTGCAAAAATGATTAAGTACAAGTTCTAAACTTTAAAATTTTAAAATGCAAATTGTTTTTCATACTTTTGTTCTTGCTTAGGCTTGTTCTTTGGCTTTATAATTGGTATCTTTTAGTTTGAGCTGCATGATATGCTTGGGCTCTTACTTCGATTCTTGTAATTGGGTCTCTCTTATCTTGATTATTTTGATCATCTTGCTGTTCTACATCAACACCTCCAGACTCAATTTAAATTTGGGAAAATTACATACATAGCATCCAATTCTTATGAATTTACCTATCTCACACCTATAGTTTCATTTTTACACAAATAGCACTTTACCTATGGACGAAAGGATGGATTTAACTATTAAAAGCTGATAATGAGTGCTACTTTTCATATGATGCTTGTAATTATGAAAGCTTTGGTATGAGATATGTAAATATGAAAAGTTTGGGTGCTTTGTATGTAAAAGCCCCTTTAAATTTTGCTCCTTGGAGTTGAAATTCAAGTAATCCTCTACAAGCTGAATTGTAAGTTTGTCTAAATTTACTCTTGTAATCCAAATATCCATAGTTGGGGTTTGGTTTTCGATCTATCTAGATACCTGCAATCTACAACTAACTATAAGTCTATATGAATTTCTTCAGTAATGATGTGACTCTACTTCCATGAAAGTTATCTATGAGAGTATGCAGTTGTGGGCATTGTATTTTGCTGAATTGTTCTATGGAATATTTTAGGTTGACTAACTACATCATATGATAAGGTGTTGTCACTATTAAAAGTTATATTGATAAGCATGTTGATAAACATATCAATTTGGTATGCATTATTTCCAATTTTTTTAATCATTTTGATTGGTTCACAAGAACTAGCAGATTGTATTTTCTTGAATTTAGTGGATTTATGTCCCTCAGGTCTAATGTGAACCAACACATAACTATCTTCTTATATTTCTTGGTAGAATTATTATGGTTTATTCTTTCAACATACTTTTGCTTTAATTTATTGTTTCTTTTTAAAATCTAGATACAATAGGCTCACACGTATTACGATCAGAAACATCACTGCCACTCTCAATAGGGGATCGTATGATAATAAATTATAGCTTTGCACTTTTGATTTCAATTCGATGAGTTTTATGCTCTTATGTGTATTTATGAGGTGGGTTTGTAATTGTATTGTTTTGTAGGTGAGCTATAAAGGCTTGCATCTTTTTAATTATTTCATTTAGGCATTACTTTTATTTAATCATTTTCTAATTTTCATAACTTTGTTATGAATCCTAATTTCTAATGCATCTCTCATTGTAAGTTTTCAACTTGGTATATGGAAACTGATTTGGGTGCCTGGCTATTTTGAATTTGATTATTTTTTGGAAAATGATGTGTAGAAAGGTTGATGAGAGGGAAATGGTTTAAGATAAGAAAAAGAAAAAATAAAATATAAACATGTAATCAAAGTGATTTTTAGGCTACGGTAACTTTCAATTGAGGTGGGGGTGTTACACCGCTTATATCTCAAGTCTTCCATTTTATAGTTTAGATATTTTTTTCATAGAATTCTATTTGTTTGCAAATAATAAAAAACTTCACGCACATGCGTCGTTATGTATGTAATTTTAGAGCAAAGAAATTTTTAAATTGTTAAGCCCTACTCTTTTGTTTTTTAAGAAAGCAAGTTAGCATAAGTTATTTAAAACAGTCTTCTAGATTTATCCTTGACGATTATCATTTAAAATTAATTTTGCATCAGTGTTGAGGCTATTTTATGAGCTGAGCACCATCTCACTTAGGTTTTCACTTCATTAAAAGGCTAATTATAAGTTCACACAAAACAAGATAGGCTAAGTTTTATGGTGAGAGTTATCTAATTGGTATGTTTGGCATTCATGATAGACTTGCAACCAATCTATTTAATGGACTTAATTTTTTTATACGAAGTTATACTATCATAAAAAAGTAATTAATTTATCTCAAATATTTTGGATTAATTAAAATAAATGCAAATCAAACACAAATAGGGCTCCTTTTATTTTAAAATAGTTCTGACTAGTTTTGCTTTTTTGAGAACCTATTAGGCTTTGTTGTGGTACTAAAGTTAATGATGGTTAGAGGCTTTAGATGTGTAGTAATGGTTGAAGATGCTTGTGAATTGTTGGCTTATGATGAGGAAGTGTGATATGGATTTAATGATAGTATGGGGTGGCCTTTTGGGTGGTATGATGATGGAAAATAAAGACTTGATCAATTGTCCTTAATTTTTGGGCTAATTTTGTTTAAATTTATTAGGAATGAGTTTAAGAGTGGAGAAATGATGGTTGAAGATGCTTTTGAATTGTTGGCTTATGATGAGGAAGTGTGATATGGATTTAATGATAGTATGGGGTGGCCTTTTGGGTGGTATGATGATGGGAAATAAAGACTGGATCAATTATTCTTAATTTTTGGGCTAATTTTGTTTAAATTTATTAGGAATGAGTTTAAAAGTGGAGAAATGATGGAATGTGATTGTGCAAGGCCAGCTTAGGATATGTTGTTGTGATCCAAAGCTTTTGTTGGAGTTTCAAGAGGTTTAAGGGCTTGTGAGAGAATGAAGAAAAAGACTAGATATGGGTGAACCTAGTCTAGGCTGAGAGCTAGATGGAGTAAAAATTATTTTAATGGCTTGGGTTGATGATGCTTGATCTTAGGAGATGACTAAGATGTAGGAGAGGTTTGAAGTGAGATTGTGAGGAGAATTAGCAAGGAGATTACGAATCTTTCTAACAAAATTAGATCAATGGCTAGCGACCAAGCCCTGATTAATAAGAGAATAATTTTTTCCAAATTTTTGTAACGTTTAATTTAAATTTTTATTAATAAATATTATCACTATAGATTGATGTTATAATGACTCTTCAATTACTATTACTCAAAAAAAGAAAATTTTTTGGATGGAAATGTGGCCACTAATGGAGGAATATGACAACCATATGCATTAATTCACTCACCATTATAAAAGTCTATGAAGTAGCAAGTTAAGATTTTTTCCAGAGGTAACATAAAACTACAAAAATTATTAAATACAATATCTAAAATTGAAACTTTAGAATATGTAAATTTCTTATTTTCTGAGCTCTTGCTTGGTTTTTAAGTTAGGCTCCTATAATTCATACTCACCTTGTTCGAGTA